GTCAGATATGTATTTCTTCTCTAGAAGATCCATGTTTGAACACTTTGAAAGAAATAAAATGATGGTTCATTCAAGGTAATAAACATAAAAAAAACTCAAGTCAGTAGTTTTCTGCTCAGTTTCAATTTGATTTGATTTTATCAATCAATGGATTTCTTGGGATTGTAGAATATATACTCATCAATTGGCCAGGTGTTATGATTCAACTGAGAAGAGTTTCTCAGAATATGCTTGAGGGTTTATTTGGAACAATCAGAAAAATGGGTGGTGATTCTTCTACGCAAACTGTTCAATCCTATGGGTATGTGATAAACAAATTAACAATTACAATGCAAATGACATCAGAAATAAAAAGCTTGAATTATGGTTCAGCTGATGGTTTAGACATGCTCACTGATTTAAAACAAAGGTAATTTTTATTTATGCAAACTTACCAATAAACTTAAATTAATTTTTTTTATTTTTATTTTTTATTTTTTTATTTTTTTTTATTTTTTTTTATTTTTTATAGAGATTATCGAACAATTTTACGATCTAATAAGCAAAATTTAAACCCATATAATTGCTATAAAGATAGAGTTGAGATACTTTCCACTTTTAGTCGCCAAATATTCCAAGAGCTTCTTAATGATGATTTGGTAATAGGACGAATACAGCTACCGCTATTCTTGAGTAATAAAAATATTATAATAGAAAATACAACTATTAATTGCTTGCAGCTTGAAAGAGCGCGACTGATTAAATTTTTATTATATAAAGAAGGTGTTGAAGATTTTTTAGTAACTTTGTCAGAAAAAAATTTGTCAAATGGCATTAAATTCTGTTCTATTAAAAAAAAGCACACAATGGCTCACAACATGGTCAACAAATATGGAAAATAGATTAAATAATTACAAATGTGCGGGTGACTGGTTTAATAACTTTCAGTTGTTGGCTCCAAATAATATCAGTATAGAAACTTAATGACTTATATGCTACTTGAAAAAACTATAAGAATTACGTTTAAACAAGCACACAGTGAACAATATTATAGTCAGCTCATTTTGAATTATACAGAATCGTGGACTGTACCTAAAAAAATCGTTAGCTTAGAACTGGCTGAGGCATCAAAGTTTCAATATATTATTGGATAGACTATATATAAATTGACTAAAAATGATCAACTTACATTAGCACATAAAGAGCTTACAAAAATTAGATCATGCC